AATCTCGAGGAACGGGAAGAGAGGGCCAATCTCGAGGAACGGGAAGAGAGGGCCAATCTCGAGGAACGGGAAGAGAAGGGCCAATCTCAAAGAACGGGAAGAGAGGGCCAATCTCAAGGAACGGGAAGAGAAAGCCAATCTCAAGGAACGGGAAGAGAAGGCCAATCTCAAAGAACGGGAAGAGAAGGCCATTCTCAAAAACGGGAAGAGAAGGCCAATCTCAAGGAACGGGAAGAGAAGGCCAATCTCAAAGAACGGGAAGAGAAGGTCAATCTCAAAGAATGGGAAGAGAAGACCATTCTCTCGAAGGGGAATTGCAATTGTTCTCTTCGTTGTCATTGAACAGGTGACCCAAAAGGAAGATAAGAGGCCGATGTTTAAATGCTGTGCACAACTCCTTTGTCAAGACTTCCCCTCACCTCCTTTTCCAAAGATACCATCAAATTTTTGGATTCCCCATTGGGCAATCGGTACAAATCGTTCTTTACCCGGCAAGGACAGACTGCAAATCTGACTGAGATTGCCAACCTCCAAAAGTAGAGAAAGAAAAAATGACATGGCTTAAAAATATAAACTTTAAAAGTGACCTGAACATTAATACAAAAAAATATGCTAATTAAATGCATGTTTATCTGCAAAAAAAGATTGTAAATTCTCCCACTGCCAGTCTAACCTAATGAAGATTTTTGGGAGTTTTAATCGGCTGCACTCAGTGGATCTTCTTCTAGTTCATGCCCACTTTGGCGACAATGGGGGGTCTGCGGGACAAAGCAATGAGAAAAGTAGGGGACCAAGAATCCAATAATCTCAGAAGTGTTGGTTTCCTCAGATCTTAAGGCAGGCCATACATGGGTCGAATTCCAAACAAATTTTCATTAGAAAATCGGAAATTTTGTGTGTTTTGTAATTCGATGGTGCCCCATTGATTTTGAAAATCGACCAACCAAGCCTTCTGATATTGCTACAGAAAAGATTTCTCGTGGCCAAGAACTTTCTTTCAGGTCACATCTCACGCTCCTTTCATTTTCAATTACATTTCTCGCACAATTCTCCCATCAATAAATAGAAATTTGTTTTTCAAAACATTTCCGACATGCCCAATCACTCAAATTTGATGGGTCGCTCAAAAAATCGAATCTTGCTTTGGCCCACTACTGGTGCGAAATCTGAACGAAAATTTGAGAAAGAAATTTTTTTCGGAATTCGACCCGGGTATGACTGGCTTAAGACACTCTGGGGAAGATTTACGGAAACTAAAGCCGGCCATACACGAGTCAAGTCCGAAAACCTTTTCTTTCGAAAAATCCTTCCTAAGAATATTTGTTAAAATTTTACACCAATAGTGGGCCGTCGCAATGGACGATTTTCGAGCGACCATCGAATTTGAGTGATCGGGCATGTTGGAACTTTTTTGAAAAACTAATTTCTAATCAATGATGGGAGAAATGTAATCAAAAAAGAAATGACCTGGAAAGAAAAGAAAATTCTTGGCCACAAAAATTCTTCTTTGTAGCAACATGAGGTGAAATTGAAGGCTTGGTTGGTTGAATTTCGAAATCAATGGTGGCGCCATCGAATTACAAAATTTGTTCGGATTTCTGAACCATGTATGGCCTGCATAAAGCACTCAGAATCTGGTGCAGCTGTGCATGGTAGCCAATCTTCTTCTAACATCAGCTTGTTCAATTAACCCCTTCACGCCGGCGCCTCCTGGCCCTTTAAGAGTTTCAGAAGCCGGGGCGGGGTTTAGGGTCATGTGACCGCCGTGACACGCCATCACATGATCAGGAAAGGTCCCGATCGAAAGAGGAGATCGGCACCTTTCCGTGAGTACCGGGAGCGCGCAGGGCACGTGCTCTCGACACGTCCTTTTTTTAATAGAGTGCAAATGTGCGGCGGCCGCTCGGCGTCTAGGCCCAGATGCCGGGAGGCCGCACATTTGTGTGCGGCTGGTGTGAAGAGGTTAAACTTTGGCAATAAGTCCCAGGTCATACTGGATGCAAATTAGCATGCGACTTGCAAAAAGCATGGCAATTCGCACCATATTGTCCGCAATTACAGCGGTCGTATCGTTGCGGTTCCGATTTGGTCGGAGCCGCACTGATTTCTAAGGTAGTACATGCACTCCTTTTGTGGAGATTTGCATAGACATCTGTGTCAGATGTCTTCAAATCCCACCTGAAAAACCGTCTTCTTAACCGTAAGTTGGGCTTGGTGTGACCCGGGGGGGGGGGGGGGGTTGTTGGAAGGTGATTGGTTATTATGCACAGCTGCATCAGATTCTGCGTGCACCAGTTTTAGTAAATCTTATCCTTTGGGTAGCAATTGCTCTTCACTAGAGCAAGGTTCTACAGCAAGAAAGGTGAGCATTTACAATCTTCTTTTATTAGCAGTTTTATTTAGGAAACAGGGTCGACTTTTACAATAGATCAATAAAATGTGCTGTGTGTGTCTATATTGACCAAACAGAAATGTTTACATTTGCTTAGAATTCTTGAAGAGCTGGTTCAAGCCAGCGGCCCGCAGTGTGTACACCGTGCATGGAGTACTGCAACTGCGTTGCACTGGTTACAGTTTTTTTTTCCAACTTCATTAAATATATATATATATATATATATATATATATATATATATATATATATATATATATAAAAAAAAAGACAGACAGTTTATTCATCTTTACTCACCACAGGGCACTGCAGTGCAGAGTAGTGCATCGTTAAGATGCTGGGCTGAAAACGGACATCCTACTTTTTTTTTCCCAACGCACAGCACTGAACAGATAGGAACTCAAGGAAAATTGCCTCTTTGTGTTACACGTCTGCTGGAGCTGGTGTGAATGAGCCCTTAAGAAAACATGTGCCATTTCCTCTTGGAAATGCTAGGTGCCTGGCTGTCTCTAGATTCAATACTTCACCAACCCCAAACAAGTATGCAAACCAAAAACCACATCTCTACCACAATACTTGTTCTGGCTCCGTAACCACGGCATCGGATCAGCATAAAAGTCTGGTAGCAAGCATTTTAATGCAAACCTATCCCTGACAAGGGAAAGGTTGTTTTTTGGGGTTTTTTCGTGGATTTAAGTTATTTGGCTAGTACACTGGCCAGATGGATTCAGCAAGGCTTGAATGATTGAACTGGATGGACTTTTGTCTTTTTTTCAGCCAGACTAACTATGTAACTATGAATGACAGACCATCTACAAGCATGCATGGCTGTAACGTCAGACATCCTTGTTTTCAGGCGTGTTTTAGGTGAGGTACACAAGTATTGAAGCAAGAGTGTAAACATGACAGACAGAAAAGTAACTATGTACTAAGGGTAGTGCTCATGCCTTATACGTGTTAACCCCCCCCCCCCCCCTTTTTTTTTTTTTTTTTTTGGGTGGAGTGTGGAAAGAGGAGTTTTATTGCTGTCCCCTCTGACGAGATTTCTCCTCACTATTGGTCCTGGTGACCCTTGTCTTTGGTACACGAGGTGATGGAAATGGAGTGGAATTGATAAACCTGGATTATGGATGGAATGGATAGGCCTGTTGTGACCACTTTGTAAGAGGAGATATCCTCACTATGAAGGGATTTCCTCTTCATTCCTGCTGTAGGATAAGAAGTAAAGGGAATGCAGCAGTCCTAACCATTTCCATTTCTAATGTTTGTTTCAGATATACAAAGGCTGGCCATACACTATACAATTTTCTGTCCAATTTATGCCCAATTTCCTTTAGATTCACCTTCAACTATGTAGTGCAAGGGCCCGCCTAATTGGATACAATTAAAAGTGTTGTTAGTTTTGACCTCATATTATATGGTTTTTGGTAAATCTAAACCAAAAATCTCAAGAAAAGTGTATAATGTATGGCCGGCTAAGGCTGGCCATACATTATACAATTTTCTCGAGAATATTTTTTTCCTGGGTAAAGTTCTGCTAAGCCAATCTTTGAAACTATTCAAAACTTTAGTATATCTTTAGTTTTGAATAGAGTAGATAAGAGAAAAACTGTAGTAGTTTTTTTTTTTATTTTCTGTGTCCTGTAGGGGAGATTTTGTTTTTTATCTCATAAGACAGAACATATAGAAAAATAATAGTTGTCACTAAACAGGTGTCTACATTGGAAGGTTTCTCTTCACCTCCAATGACAACTGTAATATTAGATATCCCATTATTTTGTACCCTGGTGTCAAAGGTCAGCTAGACAAGTAGAGGAAGAATGCCTACAATGAAGACAGCAATGTAAAGCCAAGAGTTTCTTACCCATCACCACGCCAACAAAAACTAGAACATTTTGGTTTAAATAGTCTTATGCAAAAAAAAACAAACAAACAAAAAAAAAAACAAAAAAAAAAAAAATAAATAAAAAAAAAATTAAACGAAAAAACCCAAAAACACAGTTTTACAGTTTCTCAGCTTAGATTGCCATGACAGAAAGAATCCATGTGGTTATTAGGCCTCTGGTAGTTTCTCATAACTAAGCATCCTTTGCAATCACACACACGGTTTTGTAGACACAAATTTTATGAAGAAGTACTTTACAGCAAAATACCAAAAACATAACACTTGGAAGAGCGTCTCCTCCCACAGCACGATTTCAGACACAAAAATTTTGTCAAGCGAGCTAACATAGCTGTGTGTGTGTCATCATCTGCCACACGTCTAATAAAAGCGAGTAAACGGAACTATGTCCCCATCTAGCGTCACTAAGCCGAATGACAACTAGAAAGCCATTTACAATTTTATTGTCCATCTTTTTTTGTTGGCATAGCTGATCCCACGTTTCAGAATTTTCACAGAAAAATCCAAAAATGACTACCTGGGCTCTGAGACTCAAACCACTAGGATTATCTGCCCCCGATCGCAATGCCTTAAAACAGTCCTTAAAATGAATAAGGGCCTTAAATAGGGCAACCTGCCCCCAAAGTTAGATATATAAAAAAAATAAAATAAAACACAGAGGGGTGGGTAACACGACACGAAGATGCATGTCAAATTAGTTAGCCTCCTCAGAATGCGTTCTTTATTTTGGAAGCCACCAAGATGAGAATTTCTCCTATTTTGTTCTGCCAGTTCTTAATGTCTTTCGATACCGCACACCAAAGTTCGCCATGACGTGGCTCTGCATTTTCACAGCGTTTATGGATTTCCTCCTGCTGCTCCTGTGAGTCAAAACAGAAAGTAAACGTAAAATTAAGTACAGTGGAGAATGGTTAGGCAGACAGAATACATTGTATTTTGTATTCATTTATTTCAGGTACTTGTATAGCGCCGTCAATTTACACAGTGATAGATTTTATATATGAATAAATAGGTCCATATATATTTGGACACTGCCACAATTTTAGTTTTTTCAGGTATTTACCAAAACCTATTCCAGCTATAGTTATATAATGGATGTGAGCGGACAGTGCTAACTCTCAGGTTTAATTTGAGGGTATGTACATCCAGATTGGAGGAAGGGTTTAGGAATTACGGCTCTTACGAGTAGCCATCCCCCCTTTTTCAAAGGGACCAAAAGTAATTGGACAAATGAATATAATCGTAAATAAAATGTTCATTTTTAATATTTTGTTGAGAGTCCTCTGCTGGCAATGACTGCCTGAAGTCTGGAACCCATGGACATTACCAAAGACTGGGTTTCCTCCTTTCTGATGCTTTGCCTGAAGTCTGGAACCCATGGACATTGCCAAAGACTGGGTTTCCTCCTTTCTGATGCTTTGCCTGAAGTCTGGAACCCATGGACATTGCCAAAGACTGGGTTTCCTCCTTTCTGATGCTTTGCCTGAAGTCTGGAACCCATGGACATTACCAAAGACTGGGTTTCCTCCTTTTTGATGCTTTGCCTGAAGTCTGGAACCCATGGACATGACCAAAGACTGGGTTTCCTCCTTTCTGATGCTTTGCTTGAAGTCTGGAACCCATGGACATGACCAAAGACTGGGTTTCCTCCTTTTCTGATGCTTTGCCAGACTAACTACAGCTCTATTCAGTTGTTCTTTGTTTGTGGGTCTGCTTTTAGTTTTGCCTTCAGCAAGTGAAATGCATGCTCAGTTGGGTTGAGATCAGGTGATTGACTTGGCCATTGCAGAATATTCCACTTCTTTTCCTTCAAAAGCTCATGGGTTGCTTTTGTAGAGCATTTTGGATCATTGACCATCTGTACTGTGAAGTGCCGTCCAATATGGTGCCCCCATAGGGCAATGTCATAATGTGCTGGTATACAACACATACTAGCACCTTATGACAAACTTACCTGTGAGACGGATCCCTCCATCTTCACCCCGTCTTCTTTCCGGGATCGCTGGCTCCGGCCGCTTGAATGGCTGAGCCTCAATGACTACACTCCCGTGGGAGTCAAGGCCACTGCAGTTCTCTCAAAGGACAGCATGCTATCCATTGAGTGCACAATGCGTATATGATGTCACCAGCTACTAAAACGCGCATGTTTAGGAGACATTTACAGCACCTACAGCTAACCCTTATTATAGGCTCATCTGTAGGTACAAAGCAAAAAAGGCCGTTTACTCCCACTTTAAATACTTTATATATAATATATATAATACCTTATGAAATGTAAACACATACAGCAGGACATAATTAATACCAGTCCTTTAGAAATTGTAAAAGGAAATTAGCCTCTAACTCCTCACCTCTGTACCATGCTGCAGCTCAAACTTATAGAAAGTTGCCCAGGCATCTCCAAGGTCAGAGTCTATCTTCACTGTGCGGTGAAACCAATCCCGTGCTTTGGAGATCTTACGCTCACTCCAGAAAAGCCTGATGTTGAGAAAAATTAGCAAAAAAAGGATTGTTGAAGTGGGTGATATTATGACACTAGGTATACAATAAAGACCTATTGGAACTATAAAATGTTTACCCAACACATTTTCATTTATTTTAAATAGGCAGAACAATTCAATGCATAGACCGTTCACAACTTTGAGTTGTGGTGCTCTGAAAACCATGTTCAATGACATGTGCTGGCAATGTGAGCTGGTGTGTCATGGTACCCCATATGCATTATTGCAACATGTCCATGTGAATGTGATTACTATGTAAGAAAAAAAAAAAAACACAACTGTTAAGTCATTCCCCAATCTCTCTGCTTCAAAGCCACCACTGTTTTCCCTCAATGTGGGTTTACCAGGTGCTGGCCAATGAAGCTGGTCCTGCTTCCTGCACATGGTGTGTCAAGGAAGCCACATCACTCCATCACTCCATTGACTTCACAGCTTTCAAAACTATAGTGAATGGTGCACTGCCGGCCCCAAATCACTGCCTGAGACATTCATCCATCTGGGATTAAAGCGGAGTTCCGGCTGAATAATAAAAAATAAAAGTCAGCAGCCAGAAAAACTGTAGCTGCTGACTTTTAAAATACAGACACTTACCTGTCCCTTGGTCCAGCGGTGTCCTCACCACAGCTGGTTTCACCGTCCGTCTTCTCTCCCCGGCATCTTCAGTGTGGGCACCCAGCTGTGACAACTTGCAGCTTCACAGTCAGGTGCCCACTGCACATGCGCGCTTTCTACCCAAGTCCTTATGGAGCAGATTATATAGAAATAGAAGATGTAGGTCGGGCACTCACTTGGCTACTGCCAATAGAACATGGGGGTCATGTTCACACTTCTTGAGGGCATCAACACTCTTTGTTTTTCTCTGAGGTCTGGCTTCTAGGAATATGGCTTCTGCCCACAAGATTCCTGGAAAATGGTAAAGAAATGTACTACATCACATCATTACAAAAGGTTTCACATATGCAAAAATGATTATTTCCCATCTCTTGGATATCATTCCATCAACAAGTCCCACTGCATGATATCCACTGGGTCTCACCTGAATTAGGACACTCCTGCAGAGCCTTTGCCATCAGGGTATTTGCAATATTCTTCAGCCCAGCTCGGAACTCTAGACGTACTGACTCCAACCTGTACAAAAAGAAAATGATTACTAGGCATGCAGTACACACAAAATGCTCTTTTGGCACCTCAATCATACAATCAGTCAATGTTCATGCTAACGAGTTCTAGTTACTGCTGCTTTTCAATTTCCTCCATAGTCTTAACGACTGATGAACAGAGAAGGCATAAATTAAACACGGGGACGCTTTAAGCTTTTTTTTTTTTTTCCCCTTTTTAAGGATTCATTTTTTTTATTTTTACACTGATGTTTTACATTTTTTTTTTATCAATTTTATTGTTAGCACAGGGAATATAAATATCCCCTGTAATAGCAATAGGCAGTGACAGGTACTCTTTGTGGAGAGAGCTGGGGTCTATTAGACCCCAGATCTCCTAGATTGTAAGCTCTAACGAGCAGGGCCCTCTGTTTCCTCTTGTACTAAATTGTATTGTAACTGTCTGCCTTTATTTTGTAAAGTGCTGAGCAAACTGTTGGCGTTATATAAATCCTGTATATATAAAGTAATCTCTCCCCTGCCCTAAAAGCATCTGATCACATCAAGATCAGGGTGATCAGATATTTTCCAAATTTAAAAATAGTGATGTTTACATGCGGGGAAACCAGAAGTGATGAATACTCATCGCTTCCAGTTTCCTGTACCATAGGGATGTTCAGAGCTGTTCTGGTCTTTGATTACCTCAATTCTCTCGGTGGGACAGGAGAGCCTGAAAGAGCCGAGGAAGGCGGCAATGGGGGAAGGGGGGGCATCCAACCTAGTATAACCACTTGAAATCCATTGACATGCAGGTACACCCCTGGGCGTCAAGTGGTTAAAAAACTTATGTACTACCAAGATTTCATCTTACACAAAACAGACAGCAGCCCACATGAGATTTTCCTTTCAAAAGTATATCTTTCTGCAAAATAATATATGACCGTTTAGTTGTGAGAACATACCTTGATAAGCCCAAATGAGAGTTCAACAAAACCAACACATTGGTATGACTGATTAAGACACAGTTAAAGGCAGTGAATCTCACCATAGCTCAGCGGTCTTTGGGTTCTTCAGACGACTTTTTTCAAGGATGGCTCGAGCCCTGGTCAGCTGCCCCACCTTTTCCTCCAGTCTAGAAAGCAACAGCCACAGTGGGATGGAGTGTGGGCACTTCTTCAGCTATAAGAAAGAAGCGGTGTTTGCATATAACTATAGTTTTGTTTGAGGATATTAACCGTTTTCTGACCGCCTTATAGCAGAAATACTGCCACAGGGCAGCACAGGTGTGCAAAATCACGTGTATATACATGTGATTTTGCGCACATGTGCCGCCCTGTTGCATTATTTCTGCTATAGGGCGGTCGGGAAGCGGTTAATAGCAAAAAGTCAAAAATTGTTTTTTTTCCTCAAAATTGTTGGTCTTTTTTTGTTTATAGCACAAAAAATTAATAAAAGCACGGGTGATCAAATACCACCGAAAGAAAGCTCTATTTTGGGGGGAAAAAAAAAGGACATAAATTTAATTTGGGTGCAGTGTTACATGACAGCGCAATTGTCAGTTAAAGTAACTTGGCGCAAAAAATGGCCTGGTCAGGAAGGGGGGTAAATCCTCTAGAGGGTAAGTGGTTAAATAAAAAATATGGGAAGTGCCATTGCCGAGTTTAGAGGTTCAGAGGTCATCTAAAAAAATTACAGTCTCCCATTTTCTGAGAATGCACATTCAGTCAGATGACATACCAGTAACTATCCTATTGCCCCAAAACTCAAGTTAAAGCGTCAGGTTCATAATAAAACAAGAAACCTAAATAAGGGGAAAAGAAGGGGTATCTGGAATTATAGTTCTTTCCCCAGACAAAAGAGGAGATTTAAGATGCAACATAAAACGAACTCCGGTTTTCACAGCAATTAAAGGGATAATAAAGCCAAAACATTTTTTTTCCCTGATGCATTCCTTGTTTAAGCATTAGTATCCTCCTCACACACCTAGACTAACATGTCTGTCAAAAGCAAAACCAGTGACGAGGGAGCAGAAAGTGCGGCTCAGCCTCTCTGTCTGGGTCAACAAACGCATACAGCAAGATTCGGGAGCAAGCCTGCACAAGTGCCCCCATAGGAAGTGGCTTTTTTTTGGAGCGCCGGCAGCAGACCCAAGAATGGGAAGTTTGGGGCTGCTAGGCAAATATAAACCTGTATGTTATTTAAAAAAAAAAAAAAATTACAACCATTTTAAGGTTTTATTATATTAGGGTTACAATTGGGTGTATGCTGGAACCTAGACACTATGCTGGTGCATTCATAAAAGCACATATGGGTATCTGCCCATCCATACGTGCTATCCCTCTTGAAAGAGAAAGTGAAACTAACACCATTTTATTCTACAGGGGGTCTGCTCTCAGAAAATATATGATGTTTGGGAGTCTAAAATGATTTTTTTAAACGTGCACAAATAAAAACACACAGAAAATGGCTCTAACGGCAAGTGAATGCATAAAACTGAGGGCAGAGAGATGAAGGTGTCAGAACTCACCCCCTGGTTGTAAGATTCTCTTGCTTTCTCCACCTGCTGTCTCTGCTCCTCGATTTGCCCCATCATCATCCAGAGTTTTGGGAAATCCTCATAGTGACGCAACGCCTCTTCACACAGTTCCAGCGCGGCATCATCTTTCCCCAGCACCCACTCCAGCTTGACTGATTTCATGAACACCTGGTCAGGGGAAGAAGACAAGAAGAATATAATTTAGAGGGATTCCAGAAATATCCACAATACACTTCAAATTACATAGTGAGGGAGATGTATAAAGGACACGCCTGTGCACACAGCTGCAACTTATTAATCAACAGCTGTGTCAGTTTATCTAGGACTAGTGATCATCCAGTGATTAGCTGAACTGAAAGATCACAAATGCATTGGTAATATTTTCTGAAACCCGAAACTATTATCTCTTCCCAAATGATAATACAAGATGCGTACCCTGGCGGTGGGAGCACTACTTCTAGCCTTTGCCAGCAGCCTTCGGGCTCTCTCATATTCATTATTTTCAGATTCCAATTTCACGGCAGCCAGCCAAATCTCCTCGCTGTTCGGGTTGGCCTGAAAAAAGGAAAAATATTAAAGAGCTAAAACCAAAGAAATGCACAGCTGAAAAACACATAGCAAATATATTACAAACCAAAAAGGTTTTATAAGGTACTGCACATACTTTTGTGATCCACCGTTGTCCCTCCTGTGTGATTTAGTTTTAGGCCCAGTTCACACCACAAGAACGCACTCTGGATGCGTTTTTTGCTTACATATCACATCACACTATGTTCCAGTGCAGATTTGATGCAGTTTGCTGTGGTCCAGTGCAAAAAAAATGCAGCATGTTCTACTTTTTTTTACTGCACTGGAAACTGACTGGAACTGTCAGCATTGGTGTGAACTAGAGCCATTGCAATACATGGAAAACACTCTGCATACATTTTTGATGCAGAAAAAAAAAACAATGCACTGGACTGCATCTAGTGTGAACAGCTCTTACAGCGTTAGAAGGGTGACACGACTTTTCAGAGCATGCAATAATGTATACCATGAACCACTGCTGCATCTACAGCTACTCTTTGGGCTATGAGTGAACAGCAGTGTACAGTTAATATCTTACCTAATGCAGGCCATACATGGGAAAAAATATCTGAACAAATTTTCTTTAAAAAAAAAAAAAAAAAAAAATATCGGAAATTTAGTCCGTTTGCTAATCCGATGGTGCCACCATTGATTTCGAACTTCGACAAACTAAGCCTTTAATTTCATCTCTTGTTCGTGGCCAAGAATTTTCTTTTGTTTCCAGGTCACAGCTCATGCTCATTTCTTTTTTCAATTACCGTATATACTCGAGTATAAGCCGACCCGAATATAAGCCGAGGTACCTAATTTTATCACAAAAAACTGGGAAAAACTATTGACTCGAGTATAAGACGAGGGTGGGAACACCAGTGGGAAGAATCGTGCCTCATCATTGGTGTCAGTGGGAGGAATAGTGCCCCATCATTGGTATCAGTGGGAGGAATAGTGCCCCATCATTGGTATCAGTGGGAGGAATAGTGCCCCATCATTGGTATCAGTGGGAGGAATAGTGCCCCATCATTGGTGTCAGTGGGAGGAATAGTGCCCCATTCATTGTGTCAGTGGGAGGAATAGTGCCCCATCATTGGTGTCAGTGGGAGGAATAGTGCCCCATCATTGGTATCAGTGGGAGGAATAGTGCCCCATCATTGGTGTCAGTGGGAGGAATAGTGCCCCATCATTGGTGTCAGTGGGAGGAATAGTGCCCCATCGTTGGTGTCAGTGGGAGGAATAGTGCCCCATCGTTGGTATCAGTGGGAGGAATAGTGCCCCATCGTTGGTATCAGTGGGAGGAATAGTGCCCCATCATTGGTGTCAGTGGGAGGAATAGTGCCCCATCATTGGTGTCAGTGGGAGGAATAGTGCCCCATCATTGGTGTCAGTGGGAGGAATAGTGCCCCATCATTGGTGTCAGTGGGAGGAATAGTGCCCATCATTGGTGTCAGTGGGAGGAATAGTGCCCCATCATTGGTGTCAGTGGGAGGAATAGTGCCCCATCATTGGTATCAGTGGGAGGAATAGTGCCCCATCATTGGTATCAGTGGGAGGAATAGTGCCCCATCATTGGTATCAGTGGGAGGAATAGTGCCCCATCATTGGTATCAGTGGGAGGAATAGTGCCCCATCATTGGTGTCAGTGGGAGGAATAGTGCCCCATCATTGGGTATCAGTGGGAGGAATAGTGCCCCATCATTGGTGTCAGTGGGAGGAATAGTGCCCCATCATTGGTATCAGTGGGAGGAATAGTGCCCCATCATTGGTGTCAGTGGAGGAATAGTGCCCCATCATTGGTATCAGTGGGAGGAATAGTTGCCCCATCATTGCTATCAGTGGGAGGAATAGTGTCCCATCATTGGTGGTCAGTGGGAGGAATAGTGCCCCATCATTGGTGTCAGTGGGAGGAATAGTGCCCCATCATTGGTGTCAGTGGGAGGAATAGTGCCCCATCATTGGTGTCAGGGGGGGGGGGGGGGAAATAGTATCCCATGATTGGTGTCAGTGGGAGAATAGTGCCCCATCATTGGTATCAGTGGGAGGAATAGTGCCCCATCATTGGTGTCAGTGGGGGGGGGGGAAATAGTATCCCATGATTGGTGTCAGTGGGGGGTGGAATAGTGCTCCATGATTGGTGTCAGTGGGGGGTGGAATAGTGCCCCATCATTGGTGTCAGTGGGGGGGGGGGGGGGGGAATAGTGCCCAATCGTTGGTGTCAGTGGGGGGGGGGGGGGGAGGAAAAGTGCCCCATCGTTGGTGTCAGTGGGAGGAATAATGCCCCATCATTGGTATCAGTGACACCAATGATGGGGCACTATTCCTCCCACTGACACTTGCAGACCCCTGTTCCAGTATGGTGCTGCTGCAGCCAGCATATGTGGTTGCAGCAGCACCTAAGCACGGCACACACTTACCTGCATCTCCTTTACTCGATTTTCGCGGGGGCCGCTCAGCTCCGCCTCCTCGCCCAGGTGATTGGCCGCCTGTGTGCCTTTCCTGAGCTACAGTTCTGGCAGCCAATCACCGGTGAGAAGGCGGAGCCGAGCAGCCGCGTGAACATCCAGTGGACAAACCGAATGAAGGAGCAGCCCGCGCTTCCTGGACCGGATCGTCGTGGGACCGGAGCCAGGTAAGAGACAGCAGCCCCCTGCAGACGTTGCCTCGAGTATAAGCCGAGGGGGCCGTTTTTCAGCACAAAAAATGTGCTGAAAAACTCGGCTTATACTCGAGTATATACGGTACATTTCTTGTACGATTCTCCCATCATTGATTAGAAATGCATTCGTTTTTTTTTTTCCAAAAATTTCCAACATGCCCGATCAAATTTGATGGTCGCTTGAAAAAAAAAGTGGCCATTGCTGTGGACCACTAATGATGTGAAATTCAAACAAAAATTCTTAGAAAAGATTTTCAAAAGAAAAAGGGGCTGGAAATGGGGTGGCAGCTGCAGGGTCGGGAAAAAAATGTTCCACCCTAAAAAAACAGATGTTCCCAAATGTGAACTCATCTTTTAAGACCCCGGTCACACCGGGTGCGACTTGCCATACCAGGCGACTTGCAAATCACTGGAAGTCCATGATTTCAAAGTCAGATCGGTGTGACCAGGGTGTAACTCCTGCAATGAGAGGACTCACCTGGAAGGCAAGAGCGAGGATACTCCTAGCAGCTGGCACATCACCTGCAAGCCATTTAGACTTGGCCCCCATCAGCCACAGAACCTCGGCCTTTGGACAATGGGCGACAGCTCTCTGCAGGAGGGTCTCCAGGGACTCCCTGAAGAAACAGAGGGTGAAAGAAGGAAATAAATAAACTTTTTTTTTTTTATTTAACATTTCAGCACAATATATGCTTTTAAGGCCCAATTGACCAGTCAGTTTAAATAAGCCAAATGACTTCCAGGAATAGCTATAGATATGTAGGGTTTTTTTTTCTTCAAAAAGCATGGACCACTGGGGAAGCAGTGCTTTCTCTGCGGAAGTCTGATATGACCCCTTGCCTGAGCTCATCAAATCAGCAGGGAGCATGAGCACAGCTATAGATCTGACTTTGAGTAGGGATATGTCAGACCTTTGCACTGCTTCCCCATAGAGAATAAGGATCCAACTTTACACTTGCTAGTAGGGGACTTTTTTTTTTTCCTTCAGGCTGCAACAGCTTTAGAAAAAAAATAATTGTAAAGCTGCTTTCACACTGATCAGCCTTTGGTGTGTTCTTCAGTTAAAAAAGCAGAAAAGTGGAAGAAAACTGCATACCTTTAAATCCAATGGCACTGTTCCATAGCACTTCAGTTGAGGTGTAAAAAAAATCCTACGTGCTGCATTTTTGGAGTATGTTTCGCCCAGAAAAAAAAAAAAAAAAAAAAAACTGCACCAAAAACGCACCACAGCATTGAAATTAATGGAAAATGTTAAAAAACTTCATCGAAAAAGCAATACACCTGTGGCAAGTGCTTTGTCCAATGGGGAAAACGCAAACGCATTGAAACCACAATTCAACGTGGCAAAAACACCTATGTGATTTGTTTTTTTTTCCCCCATGGAGCAGTGTGAAAGTAGCCTAGTCTTTCTTTGCACAACTTATGTTTTGATGAACCTGGAATGTATTTAGCCGATTTAAACTGAAGGTTCATATTGGCTTTAATTTTGAGAAGAAAGCAGCATGTGACTTATCTGATAAAATCCTAAACATGGTTTTAGATTTGGATAGAGGGGAAGAATGATCAATAGGACAACTAGATGAAGTGAATCTACCCTGGGGGGAAACAGCTGTAAACGCCTGACAGGGACTCTAAAAGGACCACATTCTATCCAAATCTTACAAAAAAAAAAAAAATTATATTAAATACATCTATCTATCTATCTATATATATATATATATATATATATATATATATATATATATATATATAGTATATATAGCGCTAGTGAGGACAAAAGAAGTAGAAATAATGTACAATATTCAATTTGATAATCTATTCATCTAGACTACACACATACCTTGTTCCATGATTCTTCTCAAAATAGGCAGCCCGCAGCCACACGCTCTTCTTCATAGGGAACACCTGCAGGGCGTATGCATAGATGGCCCGGGCACACTCCAGTGCACCATGAGATACACACTGCAAGATATATAAAATAGACCCTGTTTTAAACGTGGCAATAACCTGGAGGTCTTATACATGGATTTAAAAACAGTATCCACTAAAACAGCACAAAGAGGGACTCACACTTTCCGCATCCTCCATCCACGTGTGCTTCCTGTCCTCCTCTTCTATGCCAATTCCAATGACGGCCCTGATAACGGCTTGGCACGTTACCACTCGCTGCCAGCTTTGTCACACTCCTCTGCATCCTACAGATGGAAAAAAGACACCTTTGGATCAACATCCATCTCCCTGATAATTACCTAGGATTATTTTCTGACAAATATTTTATTGCACAGTGAAGTTAGGAAAATTAGCATTGAAATTTATATAGGAAATGAATTAGTCTATACTAAATTGGTGTGCTTGAAAATGCAACCATGAGCGTGTATTCCCGAAGATCAGGGATTCCCAATTTCACCCACCAAACACTCTGCAGGCCAATCATGCACACCTGTGTTTATTCCAAAACTTCCACCTTTCACACCTACCTGTATCCACTGTTCTCGGTTGATTTCTACTCCATTGGCTCTCAGAGAAGTGATAGCTCTGTCCACGATCTTTTCCACCATCTGTGTGTTTCCATTGGCCTCCTCCAGTTTGGCGGCTGTGATCCAGATGTGTCTGTCAGTAGGGATATTCTCTCGAGCCTTGTTCAAGACTTTACGGGCATTCTCATAGGTCTCCAACCTGGCCAAAGCCAACCATAACTAGACCACAAAAAAAAAAAAAAAAAAATTAAAAGGAATCCTATACTTGACAAATATAGCGGCATTAACCACTTAACAGCAGCCCCATAGCAGATATACTGCTACAGGGCGGCTCCGCTGTGAAAAATCACATAAATATACGTGATTTTGCATTTCTGAGTAGGGGGCGTGTGCACACTGCCTTGTCTGCGCCGCTGGATATGTCAATCACCCGGCTGGGCTGAGAGGGGAGTGATCAGTGTGTAAACACAGTTCACTTTCCTGTCAGCATGGACATGCTGCTTTGTATCTCTACACAGCATAGAGATACAAAGCAACATATCCCCCAAGTAAAAACACACACAGCGCACTGTTAACCCTTGGTCGCCCAGGATGTTAACCCCTTCTGCCCAGTGCCATTAGTACAGTGTCAGTGCTTTTTATTAGTAATGATCACGGTCTTCGTGCCACTGGAGAGGTCAGTGGCAAGTTAGTTCCCACCCAGTGCCAGTTATGCTATAAGTCGCTGATCGCCGCCACTACTAGTATAAAAAAAATTTAATTTCAGTATATATACCGCCATTTGTAGACGCTATAACTTTCACGTAAACCAATAAATATATACATATTGAGATTGCAGCAGAATACATTTTGGCCTAAATTTATGACAAAATTTTAATTTTTTAAATTTATTTTATTGGATATGTTTTATAGCAAAAAGTCAAAGATATTGGGATTTTTTTTTTTTTTCAAAATAGGCGGTCTTTTTTGTTTATAGCGCAAAAATAAAAACTGTAGAGGGGATCAAAAACCACCAAAAGAAAGCTCTATTTGTGGGAAACAAAACACAAATTTTTGTTTGGGTAATTGAGCAGTCATGCAATTCTATACCCAAATTAAATTTATATAATTTTTTTAAACACAAAATAGAGCTTTATTTTGGTGGTATTTGATCACTACTGAGTTTATGTTTTGCAATATAAAACGAAAAAAATACTGAAAAGTTCGAAGAAAAAACAAAATTTTGTACTTTCTGCTATAAAACATCCAAAAAAAAAAAATCAACAAATACGAAATTTCTTCATAAATTTCAGCCAAAATGTATTCTTCTACATGTCTTTCATTAAAGAAAAAAAAAAGTGTATATTGAGTGGTTTGTGTGAAAGTTATAGCTTCTACAAACTATGGCATATATATCGGAATTTATTGTTTTATATATTTTTTTACGAACGGTGGTGATCAGGGACTTATAATGGGACTGCGATAGTGTGGCGTAATCTTACACTAACTGACGCTGGGGGGAAAGACTAACTGATACTGACATCAACAGTGAAATTAAAGTTGCTCCAAAGGCTCAAGGTTTTTTTTCCTTCATTTATTCTATGCATGAAGGTAAAAAACCTTCTGTGTGCAGTGGTGTCACTTTAATACAGTGATCAGTGATAATAGTGTTGCTACTTTAATGGCACTGGCTGGAAAAGGGTTAACATCTGGGGTGATCAAGGGGTTAAATGTGTGCCTAACAACGTGTAATGTTTGTAAATGGTGCTGCTTTACTAACCAATCTCTGTTTGCAGGGATGAGAAACCGAGGGATCGTTCCCTCTGTAAAGAACTCTGTGTTGGTTGTCAACACAGGGCTCTGGGCTGTGAGTGTAAACAGCCAAACATGTCCTGATTATATTTCATTTACAGTTATATTTATTACAGTCACGGCTGAAAATTTTTTATTTATTTTTTTAAAGTAGAGATAACATGAAGGATTGCATTGTATATTGACATTTTGAAGTCTCTAAATCAGCAGATGAAGCTTTTATTTCACCAATGCAGTTTCATATGAAGCATGATGCAACCGTTGTGAGATTTCTGACATTTCCCCACTATATACACACAAGTAATTTTGGTCTGGAAAGCAACCATTGTAGAAGTATTAGGAAAAGACACACAATGGTTTTAAATATATATTACAGCAATAGCACCACCAACCTCCTTTCCTGAAAATCTGAAACTCTACAAACTCTGAACTATGGTAACCAATCAGAATCTGTCTTATAGTAGTCTCACTAAAGGGAACAATGATTCATTGTTATAGGTTACTTTTCTATGTTCAATACACTGTTTACTGAATATGCCTGAAGGAGTCTCACCTCTACACTAGTGGGGCAGCATTCCACAGCACGGCTCAGCATGATCCTGGCGTCCTCAGGCTCCTCCAGTTCCACAGCAGCCTTCCACAGGCGGACTGAGTTTGGAACATGCTCCAGAGCTGTGCAGAGAAAAGAAGGTTTTATAGATCTGGGAGAATCGCAAGGTAAAGCTACAATTTAAGGGTACCCTAAACAGCTAAATGTACAGTTCAACACAAACTGATCTGTAAATGACCATGTACAGCCATGTGGTACTTTTCATTCTTGTGAACATATCCATCCCTGCCCTGCTATATTGCTGCATAACAGGAGGGTCTCACAGAGAGTAGCTCTACAGACATCATACCACTGTCACACCACCTCCCTGTGTTCTTTGGCTCACTATCAGTTCACATTTACATCAGGCACTCCAACTCCGATGCCGATTTTAAATTTTAAAAACACAAGACAATAAAAAAAGCCAGATTCCAGGAAATTTTAGTGGTTACATAGAAAAGTAATTTTGTGATAGCTGAATATATTCGTATTATTATATTAGTCTTTGTAGTTCCCTTTAAAAAAAAAAAAAAAAAAAAAAAAGAAGCGTATAAACTTGATCCCATTAGTTACCTTTCCGCAGCACCCGCTTTTTGGCTCGAAGGTCAGTTTCCAGCTCAGCAGCTCGGATATAGATACGGACAGACTGTGGAAGGTGACAAATGGCCTGGGCCACCACAGCCTTTGCTGTGTCTCCTGGCTGGAGACGGGCTGCTTCCAGCCATACGTCTTCACTCTGTTGGCCAACATACAAAAGAGGAACATTAAAAGGGTGTCTCATCCCACAAATGATTACTAAAGCAATGGTATGACTCGGGAGGAACTGGCAAACTGCCTAGGCAAGCTCAGCCACTCAGTAAAAAGATCATTCTCATCTGCCAACCCTCAAAGATGAGTATAGCCCTACATCGATAAGCAATTCAAATTTTCAATAGCACAAAGGACATTTTTTGTTTTTTTTTTATAATCTAAGGGACCAAAATCAAACATATCAAATTTCTTATCAGCTTCTGTTCTTCTAAAGGCAGAGCATTTAACAGGCAAAATTCCAGTACCTAACAGCTCAACAAACCAGGTATGTGCTCCCCCATACCAAGCCAGTGAACATAACTGGGCAGGCAGCAGCAGAGCACAAAATTCCCCCATTGCGTCACGAGAGTAAGGCTAGGTTCAAATATCACATATGTGCAGGTGGTGCTGCTGCGGATCCGCAAGAAAATCCGGCAGAAGAATGCGGATCCGCGGGCGGGTGCCATTAGTTCTAATGGCACGCAGCCCGCACTCGAAAACGCAACTGTACTGAAAACCGACGTTCCTGTGCGGGCTGCGGTTTCCAAAGAAGTGCAGGGACTTCTTCCCTGCGTGTCACGGGACACGGGAGTCCATTCAAGTGAATGGGCTCTTGTGCCCACGCAAAACGCAGTCCGTACGGCCGCATAGATGTGAACCAGGTCTTAATCTTAGAGACCATGTTGCCAGAACCTTCAAATCAACAAAAAAACTTCACATAAGTTTACATGTGAATTGAATGTATTTTATTCCTTTTTAACTGTAAAAGCCCCACTTCAAACCCAAATCAAACAGCGCTCACTAAAAAGAGACAGTATGGCAGGCATGTCTCTTCAAACTATCAGGCCCATTTAAAGCAGTAAAGCCTATTTTTTAAGTTGTACCTACAGTTAAAGTTTACAATCAGCCTTACCTGTAGGTACAATGAAAATCTCCATTTACTGTACCGTCTAGGACAGGGGTAGGCAACCTCAGAGCCACAGGACTACAAGTTCCATCATGCCTCTACAAGTCATAGCTGTAACTGTCAGTTTTGTAATCTTTGCAATGCCTCATGGGAAATGTAGTTCCACAACAGCTAGAGAGCCGCAGGTTGCCTACCCCTGGTCTAGGAGATATTTACAATGGCAACAGCCAATGACGTCACCAGCGCATGTTCAGTGACGCTCTGCATACAGGGCATACATTATGCCATGAAATGCAGATTGCTGTGGCATGTCCTCTGATGTGGCAGTGACCTCATTGCAGCCCCGATACTCAAACAGCTGGAGCCCAGGAACCCGGAAGGAAAACCAGATGAAGATGTAAGCACCGGGGAGCCAAGACAGCGCTGCACTGGAGTGCTCCGTGTGCAGGCAAGTCTGTCATAATGTGCTAGTCTGTTTTGCATGCTAGTACATTATGACTCAAACTTGCAGGGGTGCCCAATTTTTGTTTGTATTTTTGTGGAGGTTTACTACTGCTTTAAACTCTGAATAAAATGTTTTTAATGATCACAGCTTGAAACAAAATCACAGGCTGTTCCCGTGATGAATGATGGAAATTCACCTTGGGACACATTTCTGTTCCTTTCATGATGAGATTGCGAGCGACTTGTAGCTTGCCAGTAACTTCTTCCAGACGGGCAGACGCAATCCAGGCAGGTGGGTGGTGAGGGTTGGTTTCTCGCACAGACTTCAGCAGCAGACGAGCTTTCTTAATATCACTGGTTAAAGAGTAAAAGTAAACATGTCCGCATAAACACATTAAATACAACACTGTCATCAACTATTCATCACACATACTTGATGTCTCCTCCGTGGGTAGGGATCATAGAGTTCAGATCAGTCAGGTAACCTTTGGGATCAACCACAGTTTGGCCACTCACAGAGTCTGACACCTGCAGAAGGAAACAGGTTGTATATGAACTTTAAGCTTTCTGCATCCAAAGCATCTTAACACACCTTAGCTGATTAATGTACACACCTGTCACCTCAGCAAGCTAGAAATAGTTACAGAAAATAAAGGCGGGCAACATACTTTTAAAGACCCTAGATTAAATCAAATCCCTCAGCATTCAGGTTTGCTGCAAGGCCAGTCTTACCCCTATTACAAGGTCAAGGGCCAGCAAGAAAGTGCAAGAGTTGTTAAAGTGTCACTAAACCCCGACCCTGCATTCACTATATCCGGTCTCCCCGGACCCGGCATTCGCTATATCCGGTCTCCCCGGACCCGGCATTCGCTATATCCGGTCTCTCCCCGGACCCGGCATTCGCTATATCCCGGTCTCCCCGGACCCGGCATTCGCTATATCCGGTCTCCCCGGACCCGGCATTCGCTATATCCGGTCTCCCCGGACCCGGCATTCGCTATATCCGGTCTCCCCGGACCCGGCATTCGCTATATCCGGTCTCCCCGGACCCGGCATTCGCTATATCCGGTCTCCCCGGACCCGGCATTCGCTATATCCGGTCTCCCCGGACCCGGCATTCGCTATATCCGGTCTCCCCGGACCCCGCATTCGCTATATCCGGTCTCCCCGGACCCCGCATTCACTATATCCGGTCTCCCCGGACCCCGCATTCGCCCGGTCTCCCCGGACCCCGCATTCGCTATATCCGGTCTCCCCGGACCCCGCATCTCCGGTCCCCCGGACCCCGCATTCGCTATATCCGGTCTCCCCGGACCCCGCATTCGCTATATCCGGTCTCCCCGGACCCCGCATTCGCTATATCCGGTCTCCCCGGACTATATATCCGGTCTCGGTCTCCCCGGACCCCCGCATTCGCTATATCCGGTCTCCCCGGACCCCGCATATTCACTATATCCGGTCTCCCCGGACCCCGTCTATATCCGGTCTCCCCGGACCCCGCATTCGCTATATCCGGTCTCCCCCGACCCCGCATTCGCTATATCCGGTCTCCCCGGACCCCGCATTCGCTATATCCGGTCTCCCCGGACCCCGCATATATCCGGTCTCCCCGGACCCCGCATTCGCTATATCCGGTCTCCCCCGGACCCCGCATTCGCTATATCCGGTCTCCCCGGACCCCGCATTCGCTATATCCGGTCTCCCCGGACCCCGCATTCGCTATATCCGGTCTCCCCCGGACCCCGCATTCGCTATATCCGGTCTCCCCGGACCCCGCATTCACTATATCTCCCCGGACCCCGCATTCCCTATATCCGGTCCCCGGACCCCGCATTCTCCCCGGACTATATCCTATCCCGGTCTCCCCGGACCCCGCATTCACTATATCCGGTCTCCCCGGACCCCGCATTCACTATATCCAGTCTCCCAGACCCTGCATTCACTATATCCAGTCTCCCCGGACCCCGCATTCACTATACACCCCGCATTCACTATACCCAGTCTCCCAGGACCCCGCATTCACTATATCCGCTCTCCCCGGACCCCGCATTCACTATATCCGGTCTCCCCGGACCCCGCATTCACTATACCCAGTCTCCCAGGACCCCGCATTCACTATATCCGCTCTCCCCGGACCCTGCATTCACTATATCCAGTCTCCCCGGACCCCGCATTCACTATACCCCGGTCTCCCGAACCCCGCATTCACTATACCCAGTCTCCCAGGACCCCGCATTCACTATATCCGCTCTCCCACCAGTCAAACAGGAATCTAATGCATCCACCATATCTAAGGAATGGTAAGCTGGAACGTATTTACATTTTAGTTCACACATCTATATACACTATTAAAGAAAAACAAAAGTTACTTTGAATTATTTTTCTCCATAGACTACAATAAAACTTTTGCTACTCACCTGGCTCAGCCTCATGTCCATCAGGGTATTTCTGGCCTGTCCGATTTTCCTCATGTCCAGTTCTCCAGAGCCGGGTGTCATTAGGCCTGGTGTCATTCCTCCTGGGTACGGGGTGTTCAGGCCACCTGGGAAAGGGGTGTTCAACCCCCCAAATTGCTAAACAGAAAAGGAATACGTTAAAAAGCAGCTCAAACCTAATGGAAAGGCAGGATATTGTTTTACAAATGGCCAAAACAATGAAATATTAGCCATATTTACATTATCTGAGAATAATGTCTGATGGTCCACAAATATAGGTTATGTGATTTCTTCTTTACAGTGTGTGTTAAAGCATTGAGTACTCCGGAGTTAATTCAGAAGCACACTCTCCATTACAGATGAATTTAAGTAAAACCACTAAACAAAAAAAATCTGGACTACATTTACTGTTTTACCTGATAAATGATTTGTAGTTTGATTCAGAAATGCTTGTCATTCTGTTCAGCCGTTCTTGTGATTTCCACGGATAGGTGACCCCCTGTCCAGCTTTGCAGCTTTCTTACACCATATTTAACCTCTAACCTGTTCACTGCTAATGAATCACCACTATCACCTTTAGTACAATGAGCAGGAAGGCAACCCAGGGAGTGGTAAATCCAATACAGTGAGATTCTGGCTGTGCAGTGTGGCAGAGGTGACTGAATGACAAGACCGGCTGAACAGAGAAACCTCAATTGGCAAATAAAAAAAAAAAAGAAATGTGTATTTTATCTGTGTACTGTACTTAGGGTAGGCACAGATTTATATTTCAAGAGATACTCCAATGAGAAAAGGTAAAAGATGTTTCCAAGCTAGTAACACTTTAAGACCCTTCTCTCTCTTTTTTTTTCGTGACTGTCTGTTCTATTGCGGAGATTTCTGTTCACTTCCTGTCTTAAAGACATAAGAGGAAATTAGAAAATATCCTCAAGGTAAAGGAAGAAAACCTCCAGGCAGCCAGAACACTGGTCTCCAATGGAGGATTTATCCCCACCGCCTGTTCCTATGATAATACGAAAACTTTAAATTTATCAGTTTTTACTTCTCCAATCTAAGACTAAAAAAACAAAAAGCTTTAATGTTTTATCCAGCAGGGGTATTGGGATATAATAGCTGCAGTCTGGAAAAATAAGTCAGCACTATATTTGAGTTATTTATCTCTCATCTACCAAAATTAAAAACAAAACAAAAAAAAAGACAAAACAAACACAAATAAAAAAAAAAAAACCCAGTTTTGGTTTGACTGTCCCCAGCAAATACATCATAGGAGGTAAATCACAGAGCAACTTCTCACCGTCTGTCGTGGATCAACAGTTGAGTGGTTCTCCCCCGTCTGCAAATGTTTGGCAAAGAAACTGTCGGGGACTGGAGTGAGTTTCTCATGGCGAGGATTTCGTTGGCGCTTATTCCGGGCGTCGCCAACCTCAGGGATGCTCAGCCACTCTTCCTCTGTCACTTCAGCTAATTTCCTCTAAAGAGGAAAATTTACATAAAAATAATGATGCATCGATAAGGACACCAAGGCTCCTACAACTACTTAGTAACAACATAACAAAGTTACCTTTAAATCCGAAAACTGCTGCTGGATTTTGGGTCTCTCCATACGATATTTTTCAATTTCCTCTTTCTCTCTCTGTTCTCTGTTAACCAGAAAAAAAAAAAAAAAAAAAAAAAAAAAAAGATTATACAGCATTGTAAAAAACATTGTGCAAATGTATAAATTAGAATGCCCACCAAGCGTCAAGTGTAAGTGCACCCCCAAAAAGTAGGAGAAATATCAGAGCAGACCAAAAGCAAGCATACAATAGAGAGTCTGGTGTAAATGTAGTGCAAGTTAAAAACTTGGGGCTCCCCAACTCCTTTTCTGGGTGACAACATTTTCACTTTATGGGTTTTTGAGTAAACCTCTGTAAAGCGGACCAAACACTAGTCGAATTTAGTTTTCATTTTTTGGGGCTTTTTTTTTTTTTTTTTTTCAAATAACCACTTCAATACTGGTCACTTTTATCCCATTCATGCCCAGGCCAATGTTCAGCGTTGTCGCACACTTTCAATGACAACTGCGCAGTCATGCAACACGGCGCTCAAACAAAATGTTTGTTATTTTTTCACACAAATAAAGCTTTCTTCTGGTGGTTTTTGATCACCACTGGGTTTTTTTTTTAATTTTTTTGCTAAACAAATTAAAAAAAAAAAAAAAGAAAATTCTGAAGATAAAAAAAACACAAAGCACTTTTCTTTGTTTATATTATAAAATTTTATAAGAAATAATATTAATAAGTATAAAATAATAAGTACATTTTTCTTCTTCACTGATGTGCGTTGATGAGGCGGCAATGATGGGCACTGATGAGGCGGCACTGGGCACTGATATGCTGCACTGTTGGGAACTGATATGCTGCACTAATGGGGCAGCACTGAAGAGGAGTGCCCTGATTATCACTGTAAACATCCCGTCACAGGTAAGTCAGTTATCGGCTTTCATTTCCTCAGCACTGTGACAGTGCTGAGTCAAGGAAGTGACAATTCACTGCATTTCTTTACACGTGATCAGCTGTGATTGGACCTAAATGGTATCCCTGATTGGTGACTAGCTGAGTCCAAGAAACACAGCTCACCACTGATCGCCACGCTAACGCCGACGCCCTCCCAAAACGAGAGCGAACCCATCCGGCTGTCATTCTACAATAGACCAGATGGGAATCGGTGAAAGATGTTCATTCAAATTTGTAATCATTAGTGGGGTCAAATCGACATTTGTTTTTAACAGCAGAGACAAAAAAGAAAGGAAAGTCCATTAATGACAAAAATCCAAACTTTTAAAATAATTTCAAACAGCATTTGCGAAGTCATCAGATGTACTGAAAAATTCTGAATGAATGTTACTGGTCAACTGGTGTAGGTGTAAAAAAACAAAACAAAAACAAAAAAAAAAAGTTTCCATTTTTGCTGTTCAAACACTTTAATGTTTCACTTAGATACGGTTTAATGATATTTCTAATTAGAATCTTCTTGTTTCTACACTACAGGAGTAATACATTATGTACAAACCTTCTCTCTTTCCGTCTTTCATCCATTCTTTTGTCCAGTGCAGCATAGATGGCGTCCGCCTCTTCATCATCCTTCTCGTATGGGCCGCTGGAGAACAAACTACCAGCATAGCCATTAAACTGCAGAGTGAGGGGGAAAGCAAATGTATCAGTATTCGTTAAAAGAGTTGTAACCTATAGATTTCTAAAAATAAAAAAAAAATAAAAAGTACAGTTTTTATACAAATGTTACAATGAACCAAAAAAGCGTGTCTCTTCTGCAATAAAAGGCTCCATGCTTACAATTTTTGCCACTAAAGGTTTAGCTCCACTTTAACACAGCTGTGTACATTAGACTACATACGCTGATCAGCCTTTACATTATGATGGCCCACCTAATGCTGAGTAAATCCCCCCACCAAAACAGCCCTGGCCCATGAAGGCATGGACATCATTAGATCTCTGAAAGTATGCGGTGATGTCTGGGACCAGGCCATCAGTAGAAGATCCTTTAAAGCGGAGCTCCACCCAAAAGGGCAAGTTCCGCTTTAAAGACTGGTCCCCCCGCTCCCCATTAAGGATCCACACCTTTGGGGAGCGGGTACCCGAAATTGACAGGTATCCACTCCTACTTCCGTTGCGATCGCCTAGGCGATCGGAAAGGGGAGGTTGTCTCCCCTCCCTCCCTGTAGTCTTCTGGGACACATGACAGGTCACAGAAGACTACGGGACCATTCACTTGCACATACACAGTGGGCTCCCTGCTGTGAAGCCGAAAGCTGTCACAGCCGGGTGCCCACACTGAAGATGCTGGCGTCGGGAATACCGGACGGCCGGTGAAACGGGCTGCGGAGAGGACACCGCAGGATAGTGGGACAGCTGCGTGGCTGTTTTTTAAGTCAGCAGCTACAGTTTTTGTATCTGCTGACTTATTTGTTTACGGTGTGACTGGAACTCTGCTTTAAGTCCTGTAAGTTGAGGTCAACACCTCGAACTAGTTGTGATCCTCAGGTCATTCTTCAACCATTCTTGCATTGTGGCAGGACGCATTACCCAGTTAAAAGAGGCCACGGCCATCAGGGGATACAGTTTCCAGAAAGGGGTGTAATTGGACAGCAACAATGCTAAGGTAGGCGTTAACAGCCACATGAATAGCAGGACCCAGGTTTCCCAGCAGAACATTGCAAAAAGCATCGTACTGCTTCTGCCGGCTTGTCTTCTTCCTATACTCCATCCTGGTTTCATCTCTCCAGGCACCAGGCCATTCACATGAAGTAAAAAAAATGTGATTCATCAGACAGGGCCACCTTCTTCCATTACCCCGTGGTCCACTTCTGATGTACACATGCCCATTGTAGGCGCTGTGGGCTGTGGACACGGATCAGCTTGGGCACTCTGAGTGGTCTGTGACTATACACCAAGGTACATAAACTATGAACTCCATTTTTCCTGCCTGCAACACGTCAATTTCATGGACAACATGTTTACTTGCTGTCCAATATATCCCACCCACTTACAGATGTCATTGTAATGGGATAATCAGTGTTATTCGCCTAACCCGTCAGTGGTCATAATGATATGGCTGATTGGTGTATCTCCTATTGTGCGCTTAGACAAACATACAGGGAATACAGGTCCCAACCGCCACGCGGTTCTCTCTGTACCTCATCATAATTGGTGTCATTCAAATCTTCATCGTCATCATCAGCCTGATTCTTTTTCATCTGGTCCCCAACTGTCCTTTTTCCTGGTGGGGCATGGCGATCGTCCACTGGATCATTGGCATCACGGGCCGGACCAATATCAGAACGAGTGGTGAAACCTGTGGCACTGCAGAGCAAAAGGACTGCGGTCATTTATGGCCGAAACACCATAATAAAACAGCAGACATAGTAGGATCACCGACCTGAATTCAGTTTATGTCCAGATCACCCCGCTCCACTGATCACCCTTCATAATCTCTGCCTCCCCGCTGTTATCCCCACAACACCCCAATATTTCCATACTGTACACTGATACCCCTCCCCCCACACACACTATTCCACAACATACAGGGATCAGCCCAACATATCCACTGCAGTCCCCTAATGTACTCACCTTCCCCAATATCTGCATCCCAACATATCCCCACCACATCTCCACATACCCACCCCTCCCGTCTCCTCAGCGACCCCTCATTCCCTTCATCTCAGCGTTCCCTTATACCCCCCTCCCCTTCATCTCAGCAACCCCTCCCCGTTTCCTCAAGTGTCCCTTTACAGCCCCCTCCAAGTCTCCTCACTGTCCCCTCATCCCCCCACTCCCCGTTTCCTCAGCAACCCCTCATTCCCCCCTCATCATCTCAGCGACCCCTCATACCAGCCTCCCCATTTCCTCAGTATCCCTTTAAACCCCCTTTCCCGTCTCCTCTAAGTTCCCTCATATCCCCCTTCCTTGTCTCCTCGAAGTCCCTCCATACCTCCTCATACCCCCTCCCAGTTTCCTTCAGCGTCCCCTCATAACCCCCTTTCCGTCTCCTTCAGCGTCCCCTCATAACCCCCTTTCCGTCTCCTTAAGCGTCCCCTCATAACCCCCTTCCCGTCTCCTTCAGCGTCCCCTCATACCCCCTTCCCGTCTCCTTAAGCGTCCCCTCATACCCCCCTTCCCGTCTCTTTTCAGCGTCCCCTCATACCCCCCTTCCCGTCTCCTTCAGCGTCCCCTCATACCCCCCTTCCCGTCTCCTTCAGCGTCCCCTCATACCCCCCTTCCCGTGTCCACAGCTACCCCTCCTTCAGCGTCCCCCTCATACCCCCCTTCCCGTCTCCTTCAGCGTCCCTCATACCCCCCTTCCCGTCTCCTTCAGCGTCCCCTCATACCCCCCTTCCCGTCTCCTTCAGTGTCCCCTCATACCCCCCTGTCCCGTCTCCTTCAGCGTCCCTCATACCCCCCTTCCCGTCTCCTTCAGCGTCCCCTCATACCCCCCTTCCCGTCTCCTTCAGCGTCCCTCATACCCCCCTTCCCATCTCCACAGCTACCCCTCATACCCCCTCCCGATCTCCAGCATCCCCTCATACCCCCCTTCCCGTCTCCTTCAGCGTCCCCTCATACCCCCCTTCCCATTCCCATTCAGTCTCCCTCATACCCCCCTTCCTCTCAGCTGTCCCCTCATACCCCCCCCGTTCCACAGTCTACCCCTCAGCGTCTCTCATCCCCTCATACCCCCCTTCCCGTCTCCTTCAGCGTCCCCTCATACCCCCCTTCCCGTCTCCTTCAGCGTCCCCTCATACCCCCCTTCCCGTCTCCTTCAGCGTCCCCTCATACCCCCCTTCCCATCTCCATAGCTACCCCTCATACCCCCCTTCTTGTCCCCTCATACCCCCCTCCCCCCATCTCCAGCGTCCCCTCATACCCCCCTTCCCATCTATTCCCCGTCTCCTCAGCGTCCTCTCATACCCCCCTCATCTCACTGTCACCCTCCATTGCACACACATCCCCTCAGTGTTCCCTTCCACCACCCCCGGGTGTCTCACCCTCTCCCCAGTCCCGGCACATATCCCAGCGGGGCCGGCATGCCCAGGAACGGTTTCTTTCTTCTTGTTCATGGTCCCGGTGATGGCGGCGGTCAGTCCGGACACTCCTCCGGGGTTCCCGGCTCCTGAGGGCCCAGGGCCGCTTCCTGCAGACGAGGAGGCCGCCATATTCCTCACACAACCAGCGTCTCCACTACACCGTCCTCCCACAATGCTCCGCCACTACTTCCGCCCCGACTCTTGCCGTCACTAGGGGGAGAGTAAAACATGGCTGCCATTTTCTTGAAGGTCAGCCTGAGAAGGACCATGGGACAGGAAAGTGTCCCCTCATAGGAAGTGTCTCCATACCCCCGTCCTAGTTGTGATGAAGAAACCACATACATGAATAATCCCTCTCCTGAGTCTCCCCATCTCCTCAGGTCACTAATAATAATATTCCTGAGGTAAATCTCTGATATAAGTACAGCTGGTATAGTATGGAGTATAGGTCCTCCTTGTGTACACGTCACTGGGCCATTCACATGTGTCACCGCTCACTTCCCAGGAAGGGGGTCACCAGTCTGAGCTTCCATTCATCTTCCTGTCTCACCACTGAATTCCCTCCATTTATCAGACTGAGAAGCAGAAAAATCAACTTCTGGGTTTTGTTGACCTCGGTGTCCCCTCAACTCCCCCCAACATCCCCTCATACTCCTTTCACTACCTCAGTGTCCCCTTCTATGCCTTCCCCCATCCAGTAATTTCACTGTCACATTCTACCCCCTTCCTCTTACTACACCCCAATTACCTCATTATCTTCAACCCCCTATACCCCTCTCATTACCTCAGTGTCCCCTTCTATCCTCATCCCCTAATCACCCCCCCCCCCCCCCACACACACACACACACACACACACACACACCTTATTACCAGTGTCCCTCACTACCCCCTCTACAATTACCTCAGCGTCCCCTCCTACCCCCTACATTTACCTCAGCGTCCCTCCAACCCCCTACAATTACCTCAGTGTCCCCTTCTACCCCCCACAATTACCTCAGCGTCCCCTCCTACCCCGTACAATTACCTCCGTGTCCCCTTCTACCCCCTACAATTACCTCAGCGTCCCCTTCCTACCCCCCCTACAATTACCTCAGCGTTCCCCTTCTACCCCCTACAATTACCTCAGTGTCCCCTTCTACCCCCCACAATTACCTCAGTGTCCCCTCCTACCCCCCTACACAATTACCTCAGCGTCCCCTCCTACCCCCTACACAATTACCTCAGTGTCCCCTCCTAACCCCTACAATTACCTCAATATTCCCTCCTACCCCCTACAATTACCTCAGTGTCCCCTCCTACCCCCTACAATTACCTCAGTGTCCCCCCCCCCCCTACATTTACCTCAGTGTCCCCTCTACCCCTACAATTACCTCAATATTCCCTCCTACCCCCCACAATTACCTCAGTGTCCCCTCCTACCCCCCACAATTACCTCAGTGTCCTTTCTACCCCCTACAATTACCCAATATTCCCTCCTACCCCCTACAATTACCTCAGTGTCCCCTCCTACCCCCTACAATTACCTCAGTGTCCCCCCCCTACCCCCCCTACATTTACCTCAGTGTCCCCTTCTACCCCTACAATTACCTCAATATTCCCTCCTACCCCCTACAATTACCTCAGTGTCCCCTGCTACCCCCCACAATTACCTCAGTGTCCCCTCCTACCCCCCACAATTACCTCAGTGTCCCCTCATACCCCCTACAATTACCTCAGTGTCCCCTCCTACCCCCTACATTTACCTCAGTGTCCCCTTCTACCCCCTACAATTACCTCAGTGTCCCCTTCTACCCCCTACATTTACCTCAGCGTCCCCCTTCTACCCCCCACAATTACCTCAGTGTCCCCTCCTACCCCCTACATTTACCTCAGTGCTCATTTTGTATCTTCCAGGCTAAGAACATATGTATGGAAGTACAGAATATCTCAGTGTCTGTTGATCCTGCCAGCAATGCGGGATCCTTGTAACTTCCTGCGCACTGACCTTGTGGCTTTAACAGCTTTCTCAGCATTTGCAGTTCTCTTCTGTAGCCTCCAGAACACCATCCCCTGTATAAAGGAGATGAGGAGTGGGGAGGAGCCTGGGGTGACCACGCTGCTCCTCCAAGATACAGTGCAGTGAGCGTTGTCACCCCAGGACAGGAAGTGTGTTACTGGCCGGATTGTCTGGGGAAATGAAAGGGAGAATGAGGCTAAATGAATGCAGCCACCACATCTAAGGACTGGTGAACGGCAATGCACGCCATTTTCATGGTTGGGTGAAGCTGTGGTGGGTTGGAGTCTTTGTCCTGTGTTCGGCAAGCCTCGTTTGTTGTTGACTTTTATCGCAAAGGTTTATTTCTGATCATTTCCTTACTAAGCTGCCTCTTCTCTTTGTCTTAGGGATCTGTACGGTAACTGGCTTTGGAAAAGGGAAATATCTGAAGCAGATTTTATAGTTCTCGGAGGGGCTGAAAGAGACAAGCGTTCCGGCAAATAGCACATGCAAGGTATGCAAACCTCAGGTTCTTCTCCCTCTAATTTCCTGGTGCCCAACCTGCGGCCCTTTGGTAAGGACGTGTGACCCTCGGAGCTCAGCAGTGGGAACATTGATCAGGGTAGGAACATTGATCTCCTACTAGCCTCAAGTAACGTGTTCCCAGATTTGTATCGTCTTCTGGAACCATCCCCAGCCAGAAACCTAACATGTGACACAACACCAAAGCCTGACAACTCAGGCCAATAACCTGCACATTGCACATCACTGCCCTATTTATTCCTATGGGAGCAGGGGCGGACTGACAACTCATGGGGCCCCCGGGCAATAGGGGATCATGGGGCCCCTGTGTCCTTGCCCAAACTCAAAAAAGCCTATGAAAAACGTACCAGGGGCATCTCATGGGGCCCACTACTGACCCCGGGGCCCTCGGACAGTGCCTGAGTTTCGCAAATGATCAGTCAGCCCCTGCATGGGAGGATGTACTTTTAGCATCCTCCATTCCTGCAGGGTACAACTCTCCCCATAGTATTGCCCACATGGAAGAAAAATATATTTGAAATGTATTATAAAAATATTCTTCCCAAATATATTGACATATATTTGAAATGCTACATTTTCAAAATATATTTCAATAAATATATATATAAAATTATATGGTTAGCACTTCTGCATGGCAGTACTAGAGTCGCCGGTTCGAATCCCAACCACGGCACCACCTGCCTGGAGTTTGCATGTTCTCAATGTGCCTGCGTGGGTTTCCTCTGGTTACTCCGGTTTCCTCCCACACACCAAAGACATGCTGGTAGGTTAATTGGCTCCTCTCTAAATTGGCCCTAGTATAGATATGTATGAATGTGAGTTAGGTACCTTAGATTGTATGCCCCTTGAGGGTTAGGGACCTTAGATTGTACGCCCCTTGAGGGTTAGGGACCTTAGATTGTACGTCCCTTGAGGGTTAAAGACCGTAGATTGTACGCCCCTTGAGGGTTAGGGACCTTAGATTGTACGCCCCCTTGAGGGTTAGGGACCTTACGCCCCTTGAGGGTTAGGGACCTTAGATTGTACGCCCCTTGAGGGTTAGGGACCTTAGATTGTACGTCCCTTGAGGGTTAGGGACCTTAGATTGTACGCCCCTTGAGGGTTAGGGACCTTAGATTGTACGCCCCTTGAGGGTTAGGGACCTTAGATTGTACGCCCCTTGAGGGTTAGGGACCTTAGATTGTACGCTCCTTGAGGGTTAGGGACCTTAGATTGTACGCCCCTTGAGGGTTAGGGACCTTAGATTGTACGCCCCTTGAGGGTTAGGGACCTAACCCTCAAGGGGCGTACAATCTAAGGTCCCTAACCCTCAAGGGGCGTACAATCTAAGGTCCATAACCCTCAAGGGGCGTACAATCTAAGGTCCCTAACCCTCAAGGGGCGTACAATCTAAGGTCCCTAACCCTCAAGGGGCGTACAATCTAAGGTCCCTAACCCTCAAGGGGCGTACAATCTAAGGCCCCTAACCTTCAAGGGGCATACAATCTAAGGTCCCTAACCATCAAGGGGAGTACAATCCAAGGTCCCTAACCCTCAAGGGGCGTACAATCTAAGGTCCCTAACCCTCAAGGGGCATACAATCTAAGGTCCCTAACCCTCAAGGGGCGTACAATCTAAGGTCCCTAACCCTCAAGGGGCGTACAATCTAAGGTCCCTAACTCACATTCATACATACACATACCAGGGACAATTTAGACAGGAGACAATTAACCTACCAGCATGTTTTTGGGGTGTGGGAGGAAACCGGAGTACCCAGAGGAAACCCACGCAGGCACAGGAAGAACATGTAAACTCCAGGCAGGTGGTGCCATGGTTGGGATCTGAACCGACGACCCGAGTGCTGCCAGGGGGAAGTGCTAACCGCTTAGCCACTGTGCTGCCCATATATTTGTAAATTTTGTAAATGCCTTCCAAAAATGTAGATTTGTATTTTTAAAGACATACAGTATATTTGAAATGTGTATATAAATATATTTTGAAATATATTGAATATGGCCAAAATTGTAGCATTTAAAATATATGGCAATATATTTGGGGAGAATATTATGGCAATATATTTGGGGAGAATGTTATGGCAATATTTGGGGAGAATGTTATGGCAATATATTTGGGGAGAATATTTTTAAAATATATTTCAAATATATTTTTCTTCCATATGGGTGAGTAGGTGAGTAGGCCCCTGGACCAATTACAGAAGGTGAATCTCCCCAGCTGGGACCCAGACAGTAGTAAAAGCCTGTAAATCAAGGAAGAGAGGGCGCACCAGCCTCCCGCATGACCTAAGTGGTATCTTTATTGATATAATAATATGGATGTATACTGACAACTTCAATAACAAACTCACATCAGAGTCCAAAGCGACCTACTCACTGAGACAAGTCCCAAATGAATCTCTAAAGGGCTGACGTGTTTCGGGGGGCGATCCCCTCTTCCTCAGAGCCTGAGGAAGTGGGGATCGCCCCTGGAAACACGTCAGCCCTTTGGAGGGTCCTCTCGCGTTCGGGACTTGTCTCA